GTACGTGGGACGCGGCCTCAGCATGGCCGGAGAAGCGGTGTGTTGGTGCGCGCCCGGGATCCGAACCCGGGCCGCCAGTAGGGGAGCACGTGCACTTAACCGCTAAGCCACGGGGCCGGCCCGGGAATGGCCATCTTGCAGGGCAGTGGTTTGCAGTGAGTGGCCTGTGACCTTGAATGGAATGGGGTAGAGGATGAACTTCATTCACTCTTTGTAGCTTAAGAAGCCTTGGTCCCCAGGGCAGGGCCAAGTGGAGGGGATTTGGAGCTGCCACTCGTCTCCCCCATGCCCAGTGTGGTTCCTTTTTTTTTTTAAATTAATTAATTAATTTATTTATTTTTGTGAGGAAGATCAGCCCTGAGCTAACATCCATGCCAATCCTCCTTTTTTTTTTGCTGAGGAAGACCGGCCCTGGGCTAACATCTGTGCCCATCTTCCTCTACTTTATGTGGGATGCCGCCACAGCATGGCCTGACAAGCGGTGCGTCGGTGCGCGCCCAGGATCCGAACCCGGGCCACCAGCAGCGGAGCACGCGCACTTAACTGCTATGCCACAGGGCCGGCCCCTCACAGTGTGGTTCTGTCCCTCTCCTGGCTGAGCAGGCCCGGAGAATGGATTGTGCCCTCTCTCACTTCAGAGCCTTGGCCCTCTCCAGTCTGGGGATGGGAGGGGCAGTGCAGTGTGGTGTTTACCACGTCTGGCTTCAGGGCTTGAATTCCAGCTTAGCCACTTACTAGCTAGGAGACCTTGGAGAAATTAGTTCTTGTTTTGTTTTGTTTTGTTTTATTTTCCTCATCAGTAAAATGGGGCCAATTATAAACCTTAGAATTATTGTTAAATTAATTGCAATAATGTATGTAAATTTTCTGAAAGTACCTGACACGTAGTAAATACTCCCCAATAATAACAACAGTATTAACAATAACAGTAGTAATAAATAAGGTACTATTTCTGCTTGTTTTTAGTGCTTGCTTCGCTGTCTCCTGCTTGCTGATTGCATATGGAGCAAGTAACCCAAACTGTAAGTATGCTTTTCCTCCACTCTTTTATCAGGGACTGGGGAGAGAGTGCCAGAGGTGCTCGCAGGCCCGCCTGCTCAGGAGGCTGTGCCAGGCCTGGTGCTCCCTGCTTAAGTTAGAAGAGACACCTGTTAGGCTTTTACCCAGTTCCTTATCTCAGATGGGTGGCTGAGTAAGTCAGCAATCGCACCAGACAGACATCTGAGAGAAGCTCCCAGGGTGTGTGAGACTCTTGTCTCATTGCCAAGCCAGGCCAGTCCCCAGTGGCCTCATTGATGCCAACTTGAGAGACGAGTTCTAAGGACCAGGCCAGCTGCAGGGGTGTGCAGAAGTTGCGTCCTCTCAGGCAGCCCAGGCCAGCACTTTATAGATGGCTTAGGAGCCACCTAGTCCCCAACCCCGTTCACGTGGAGCTGTTGCTTCACAAGGACTTTCAGAACAAATACCAAAATAGGACTTGAGTTTCACCAGAATCTCAGCCTGGCTCACCTACTGATTTGGGGTAGTTGTATTTCTGGTTTTGGTGAAGCAGCTTCTTTTTTTTTTTTT